ATACCTGAACTTTTAATTTCCCTATGCAGTACACTGACAAACATCAGTAGCCTTGAACACATCTGAGAAACAAGGATTTTCTATAACCCTAAAAGTGAGTTCATTTATTTCGAATGAATGGTTTACTCTTATTAATGAATAAAGTTTAAAACACGTTGCGTATATACATTTTTTATTACTTCAACGAAATGATTGATAAAAACAAAGGCTCAGTCCAGAGTGGTGTGTTCTTCTGAGTTGAATATTCTGTGTACATAATCAATAGGATGCATTATAATCTGATTGTATCATTAGGAAATCAAATCAGAACAGTCACACAAAACAGTATTTCTCTATTGATTTCCATTCTTCTCTTTAGGTGACATTCAGATCATGTATAAGTTATATAACATCTTAACACAGTTTAAACAGAAATGATGGCTTATGCTTCCTCCTTGCCTCGTCGGCAATGTTTGCTGAAAAGAATTGTGGCTCTGCTGCAGTCCACTTCAGATGATGTGACTGACTTATAGACATAAGTTTGTGCATTTGTGGGGAGTCAGGGGACAGTAATCATACGTCTAGACATCCTAGAAGTAAGTCTATTGGAATGGACCGTGTATCTGAAAGGATTAAAAGAAGCACTCATTACAGACATTAGATTACGGTAGAAATACAGTGTAGGCTTGTACAGACATTGTTTGATCTATAATTTTTAGGAGATTATGCAGCTTCAGGTTTTAAAAGCCTCCATTCTTTTTGTACCACTGAGCTCTGGCAATAACATCATTGGAGTAGTCTCCACATGAGGTTTTGGCGTCCACCTCTTCATAGCAGTGGATGTTCCCATCACCTGCATTGTAGGCTGCTATCCCTCCTGCAGAGACAAACACAAATGAGACCAAAGCAAAGCGAGGTTTAAAGGTAGTTCATCATGAGCGTTGACTGATTCAGTAAAACAAACCTTTCAGCTGCTGTTCCTTGCTCCAGTCAGGAAATGCATTCTTTATGCGCAATATGAAAGAAATCAGGATGTTGGTGCCTTCTAGGAGGTGGTCCTTACTGTCAAATTCAACTTTTGTGGTGTCTCCATCTCCATTTGGATTGACATAAATCTATGGAAAATAATAGTTTATAAAGTTCAGATGCTATTGTATTGTAACATGAGACACTACTAAAAAGGAGTGAGCAAAACAGTTTTATTATTACCTGCATCAGCCCATAGCAATTTTCATCATAGCGCCCCCGGCCTCCTGTCTTCAGGGTCTTTCCAGCCCTGCATGATCTGGAGATGATGGCCGCAATCAGAGCTGGATCGACTCCTTTCTGACGAGCCACATTTTTGATGATGGATTTGTAGTCCTTCATTTTCTCCAGATCAGTCTCTGCCATGGCAGATGACGCCCTCACACCTTTGGAAAGTAATCGATTTGAGAACAAGAATATGGCTATCCCAGTACAGCTATCACCATGTCAATCTATTTATGTTGTTACTCTGTAGAGATAGATAAATAACAATAGATGGATGGATCAGTGTTTACCTGAGTAATTTAGATTGTCCTGCTTAGCTGTTTCCTTTGAGGCACCAGTAGTTTCCACTTTCATGATGTTTCCATAACCTGTATACAAATGTTCAGTTTGTTAGTGTTCAACACACAGCATCAGGACCTGGAGGTATTTTACATCATGCATAAACACTTACTTACTTGAAACAAATGTCTGTGATGCTTCACTTGTATCTTTGGCTGGAAATATGCAAAGACACAATGTTAAAGAGTGTTGGGTCACATGAATGCATCAGGCAGCAATGCATCCATCATTTCCCCAGGGAAAGCTGTGCGCTGTGCTTTAATGGGGGTGGCGGGGTAATTAAAGAGACGTACATCAACACCACAGTTAGTCTTCACCCCATAAGTCTGTTCTCTTATAAAACAAATAATTCTGTTTTAAAACACTTCTGATGAACCTTAAATACCATATTTATGCTTTTTTCATTTTTTTTTTTTTACAGCTGGAACAAAGCCTACGCCCTGGTGTTAAACTCACCGAAGCTCTCTCTTTGCGCGTTACAGTTAATCTCCTCCAACGCATCCAGAACCACATCAACGACTCCGGACTCGGTGAAGGTTGTGACCAGCACATCTGAGGTTTCTATATAATTTTTGCCTTCCAGATCTCTGCGTCTGACCCGTGGCTCTTCCCTGCGGTCCATGATCACAGACTGGAACTTCTGTAACTGTATGTCGCTCAAGTCCTCCAGCACGTTGTTTAGAGCGCGTTTAACGGTCTTGGGAGGCATCTCTGCATCAGAGGGGAGAAAAAACACTGCTGCTGTGAGTTTAATTCACCGTGGCTGGACTGAGAAGTCTTTATTTGGGATGTCTTGTACCCGGAGACGAGAAGTGCGATGATTAGCGCTCACTAGAAGCAAATACGATCTGAAAAGGAAACTGAATTTCCTTCCTGACCTCGAACAGGACCACCACCAGACTGCAGTGAAGTAAGTTGGGGACATATTCACAGATTTGCATCAATAACACATATAGAAACTTTTTTAAAACACAAGCGACGCCTCTTTCCTACCGTAGTAAAGTACACGATGAGCTACAACTTAATTTTCATCAAAACGAGCCTAACACTAATCTATGTACCCCCGCATCATGTGAGAGTGCGCAGGGACCGTCAACAAATACATACAACACAACGTCATCAAAAACTCTACTCTTCTGCATTGTAGCTTCACCAAAATTACTTCACACCTCATTGGCATTGACATGTATTTAGTAATATAAATGCTTTTGTATAATTTTGGGGAATATTTAGCCTATTGGGAGACATATTCAATACCTCAACTCTTCTGCATTGTAGTCCCATTACATTCACTTAACACATCACTGGCCTCCTACTGATGATACTACAGCTGGTATTTT